GTATAGGAAACCTCAATGCCAGCCTCCACAGTGACACTTCCTCCAACAAAGCATTCTAGACAGACTAGAATGTTTCTCAGCAAGCAAGTAGCATCTGAAACAGGAGTTCCTAGAGTCTCAGGCGTATTGAGTGTATTCTGTAAAGCTCACTACTCAGGTAAGATATGTTTTACTTTGTGGAAGGAACTGAGGGGCTCAAAGAAATAGAAAATGTTTCTTTCATGCTTCTCTATGGAATTTGAGGAATTCACACTATTTTTTGTCACAATATAATTATTTATAGTGTCCCCTTTTACTCTCAAAAGTAGACATATGGGTCACCCAAATGGCTCAGCAAGTAAAGATGACTTGCTGCCAAATCTGACTACTGCTTTCATTCCCCAATCCACATGGTAAAGGGAGAGAACTAGCTGCTGAAAGCTGTGCTCTAACCTCTACATGGGCACTGTGGTACATGTTCACACATAGATACACATAAACAAACAAACCAAGGAGGTTCATCAAATATACATTTCTTCCAAGAGTAGTTAAACTCCTTCCGTGGAAGGGTTACAGCTAGAGATACATTCCAGTATTGCCTGCATATAATCTGGTGGGGAGGTCCTGATTGGACCCTTGAGTCTCTATCTTTTATGCTCAGCGACTTTTACCACTTTCTCTGTGTACTTTGTTTCCCTTCACAGGAAGGCTGACTGTTTTCACTAAAGACTATATCTGACTCTCTGAGAGAGAGAGACAGAGAGAGAGAGAGAAAGTCATATATATATGAAGAGGTTATATATATTATATATATTCTTCATCATGCTTTATATAGAGTAGATGTTAACAGAAAATAATATTCTGAATGTAGGACTGTATAATGTAAGATACTGTTTGCCATCCACTGATCATTTAAGATCTATGCAAACTTCACCAATTCTAAAACATATCCTTTCTTTTCCAGTCTTCTGAAATTTGAACCCAGCTATGTCTCCACACTATCTGATGATTTAACTGATGAATATATTTATCTTCCATTCAAATAAAATAATTAGTATTTTGGCTTAAGTAATTATCTTAGAAAATACAACATCAGGATTCTATTCTACTCTCAACCCACCCATTTCTTATATGATTAAAGAACAATTAAGAATAAATTTTTACCAAAGCCATCTTATAAATATATTGAATGTTGAATCATTTTGGAGCTTAGAGAGTGATAATAGAAAATTACCAGCTGAATAGGCCTCCACCATGGAAAAGCAGTTGTAATTCATACATTTAAATAAGAAAAAAATCATTTTGAAAGAGAGAAAAGGGAAAAGATAAATTCATGGGCATTAGAATCATCCAGCTGCGTAATATGCCAAAATTAGTTTTTCTTTTTTGAGTCAACTGTTTTGGGGGGAAATGCATCTGTTTCTAACAGAGGAAAAGATAGTGAGGTTAGTTAGGTCTTTCCCATTCCCCAAATAAACATATTTCTCTTGCCCTTTACCCTACATCTTTTACACAGTTCTTACACTATCTTTTTCACAAGTTTTTCTTTTTCTTTTTTGGTTATCTCTTGTTAAGGATTCCACCTCTATTTTAAAATAGTGATTGTAATAGTCTTGCATTTAGCACCCACCCGTAACCCCGCCTTTTCAACGAACTGCTTCCCTCCTCAACAGGGTTTTTCTCAGCTGGTCTTGGAGCTCATTCTTTAGACCAGGCTGGCCTCAAATTTGGAGATCCAACTCCCTCTGCCTCCCAAGAGCCGGTATTACAGTTATGTGTCACCACTACTTGGCTCTTTTTTCCTTTTTTGAGGCAAGGTCTCACCATGTAGCTCTGGCTGACCTGTGACTAAATCTCTGTGTAGATCAGGCTGGCTTCAGGCTAACAAAGATCTACTTACATTTACCTCCTGAGTGCTTTGATTAATGGCATGTGCCACTATGCCCAGCCTAGAACTGCTTTTCTTAAAATTACCAACAAACTGATTGTCCAGCTTGATAGCTTCTTGCCAGCTTTTCCTCACTGCTTCCCACAGCTTATTTGTGCTGGTCATACCTTCTGTCTTTGTCTTTCCCATAGATTGGAATTTATCCTTCCAGTTTCTACTATGTCAGTGTTCCTGAGACTGTTTATCTTTCACCTTTCTCTGTTCACAGTTTGAGCATTCTTATCCACTGCCATGACTTTTCCCATGGTGTCTACCAAATGTTTATCTTACTATGTTTATCAGTTAAATCTAGGTCCATATTGCCAGAAGCTTCATAGATACCTCTATCAGGATGTGTTCAGACTACATATATGGAATGCCTTTCTTTCTTGCCTTTAACAAATGATAATCCTCTCTTTTGTTTGAGTAAAAAACTGGTTATTCTAAGCTTTTCCTTCACTGTTTCCTTTTTGTTGCAGTTAAGTACTAAGTTTCAGTAATACAGCTTTTAAAAACTTAACCACTTTTTAAGTGTCTACTTGAGCTAGACACAGTATTAAGGCTTTTAAAATGCTTCTTCTGTCTCCTAAGTTCTTCTAAATCTTAATTTTATACTTTTAGTTCCTGTAACAGTTTTTCCTATTAGTCATTAGTAAGTACTTGATAATGTGTTGTAGTAATTAATCTTTGCTATCAAAGATTATAAAAATTGGTTGAATTTGACTTGAGTACTTCTGTGAGAATTGTTTTCAGAAAGGTTTAGCTGCAGAGGGAAGATCACCTAGAATATGAATAGCATCATCAATTGGGTAGGAATCCCAGCCTGAATAAAAAGGAGAAAGTGAGCTGAACTCTGGCTCCTGACTGTCAAACCGCTGCTTCACATTCCTGCTGCCATGCCTTCTCCATGATGATGGCCTATGTCCTTGAATTGTGAGCCTAAACGAACTCTTCCTTCCGTAAGTTGCTTCATTAGATATTTTGTCACAGCAACAAGGTATTATACCTTCATCATTCTTATGCCAGGAGAACTAGAAACTGAGGAAATCACCATGGCCTCCTCTCCCACTCTTTTCTCCCCTGATCACTATAGTAATTATCGATCCTATCCCTCTGACTTCCGTATCTCTGTAGCACGCGCGCTCTCCTCGCTCCTACTACCAGTGCCCTAGTTCACTCTTCATAATTTATTGCCTAGTCTATTCATGGTTTTATTTGCTGTTATATCACTCCATTCTGTCTGTTTCTTCCTGTTACTGAGTGCCGATTATCTTATACAAATATAAATTTAATCATGTCATAGTCCTGCTTAATCACTCTTATTATAATCAAAATAAAGATCACAAGCCTGGGTGGTGGCTAAGTTGGTGGGAATTTTTGTTGTGCAATAAAGATGACCTGAGCATGAATTTCCAACATCCATATACTACACAGGCATAGCTATGTGTCCCTGTCACCCTGTCCTTGTAGGTCAGAGACTGATGGATCCCTGGGTACTCCCTGGCTAACACACCTACTTGAAATGATGAGCTTTGTTCCATGAGAGACCATGTCTCAAAAGCTAAGTAAAAGGCCAGTGAGATAGCTTAGCTATCTCGTCTGACCACTTGAGTTCGATTCCTATCACCAACATGGTAGATGGATAGAACCATTTCCTGAAAGTTGTCTTTTGACCGTCACACATATTCCTTGGCATGTGTATGCACGGCACACACACACACACACACACACACACACACACACACACACACAAATAAATGGAATTGAAAAATAAGTGGGAGGGCTCTAGAGAAAAATACCTAATGTCCTTTGCCCTCCATACTCATATGAACAATGCACATAATTTCTTAGTATGGCACATTTGGATTCTTGTAATTGGCACTTATTTATAAGACTCATCTCTCTTTGCATATAACTTTTCCTCTGTTCTGCCAAATTATCTGTGATTACCGAAAAGACAAGGCATTTTTTGATCTACATTTTATTTTTTTTTAGCAAAGGAAATATTAAGTAAAAATGTACTACAAAGACATATCAATTTTACCTAAGAATAAGATACATCTTGTGTTTATTTCTATATGAAGGTGATCTGGCTGCAACGTCTGTCACCCCATTGATAGTCAGGGTTGACTCAACTGATCTGGCTGGCTAGGCAGGTGTCCCCTTCCTCCCTCACCATTCCATGTGCGACCTTCCCAAAACCGTACACTAGGTCGAAGAGGACGACCTTCCCCGAATAGAGGAGAACTGGTCTTTGGTCAAGGATAATCCTTCCCTGCTAGAACTTCCAAACAAGCTTTTAATTCTTTAATTATAATTAAGTTGGTTCTTTCAGATGCTCTTCTGATGTTAATATAATGAAAAGTAAGTCCTTCCTTAGGTTTTAAACTTACCTGGATTGTGCACTTGAAATGACAGAAGTCCTAGACTGGGGACTGGGTTCTTCTTTAAGATGTAGGTCAGAATGTGTGTGTGTGTGTGTGTGTGTGTGTGTGTGTGTGTGTGTGTGTGTATAGGTGTTTTCATATGAGTTCAAATGCCGAAGGGGAGGCATTGGATTCTCAGGAACTAGAGTTACAGGCAGTGTTGAGCTAAAAATGAATGGATCTGAAGTTCTTAACCTGAGTTACTTAACCTCTCAGCCTCTTCAGCACCTAATAACTATTAATTTTATGTCTTGTGTTCAGATAACAGTTTTGCTTTAATGTTATTTTTTCACGAGTTAGCTTTTGTGTGTGTGTGTACTTTTTTTGTTTTGTTTTTGTTTTGTTTTGTTTTTTAGATAGGCTTCTACTAGATAGCCTCCCCTGGCCTAGAACTCACTATGTAGATCAGGCTGGCCTCAAACTTCAGAAATCCACTTGGTTCTGCCTCCTGAGTGCTGGAATTAAAGGCTTGCATCACCACACCCAGCAAAGGTCAACTTTTGTTCTAGTATGCTAATTACCTGCTGAGATACACTTGGCTATTGAAAAAGCTACTCAAACTAAAACTGTTTTGTTCTCTGAGAAGTGAACCCTCAACTTTCTAAATCTCAAGCATTAATTTAATAAAGTAAATTCACTCACTGATTAATTTTGTTCTTTATTTACAGAGCTTCCTTATGGCTGGGAGAAAATAGAGGACCCTCAGTATGGAACATACTATGTTGAGTAAGTTTGTTATTTGAGTTAATAGTTTCCCAAATGTTTTCTTTTCTGTACAGCCCTAGGGAATACTAAATATGACACCTTATGTTTTATGGTCACCTGATTTTCTGGTTATTTTAGCTAGAAGAAAAGGAACACTTTCTGCACTGACTTTGGGGTTTCTAGAAGTTAGCTTTGGGTTCCTCAGTACAGAGCATGAAAGGGGAGGCCAGAGTGGAGGCCAGAGTGGAGGCATGTACCTGTACTCCCAGTACTTGAGAGGTGAGTTTGCAGAGTCCTTGAGTTAGCAATACTTAGCAATATAGAAAGACCCATTTCTATAGAAAGACGAGAAAGGAAGGCGGAACAAGGAAGGGTAAGAAGAAGATTGTAAAAGAAGTAGGAAAATTGTGTGGAGGACTAATGGCTATTGCATTCTTTAAAGAAGACGGCAGTACATGGACACTGGGTGACTGAACTCCTGTGGTCTCTTCCATCACTACCAGTGTATACTTCCAAAAGGCATTAAGGTCATTGTAATATAGTAATCCAAAATTTAGAGGTATATAATTAAAGGTGTTTTTCTTTTAAAGAGGTCTAGAGACTGTAGTATTCTTTCAAGGAGTGAAGCCTGCTTCTAATGCAGCTGTCCAAAGAGATAGGAACACCATACAGTTGCTGTTAGTGACCACTTTCACTTCTGAGCTTTCTTTCCTTTTATCAGATTGCTTCATTGTTCAGACTACTAGAATTACCTTCTTTTTGGGGTCTACAGAGAGGATTTTAACTTTAGGTGTTGATGCCAGAAACCTCAATATTATCTGGAAATTTAGAGGCATGGAGGTTCTCTATTTTCTCCTAGCCCTAAGAAAGGAAGCTCTGTAAATAAAGAAAAGAATTAATCAGTGAGTGAATTTATCTTATTAAACTAATGCTTGAGAGTTAGAAAGCTGAAGGCTCATTTTTCAGAGAACAAACACAGTTTAAGTTTGAGTGACTTCTTCATTAGCCAAGTGTATCTCAGAAGGTAAATAGGATACAAGAATAAAAGCTGACATTAGCTGCCTTATTTGCAAATGCAAAATGATACAGGAAAAATAGGATGTTAAAGAATATTATAATTTTGCTGGGTGCTGTTGGATCCCAGAGGATCTCTGTGAGTTTGACACCAGTCTGGTCTACAAAGCAAGTTCCAGGACAACCAGGTTGTTACATAGAGAAACCCTAACTCAAAAAAATCTTCTATTTATGATTAATTTTCAATACTAGTTGTAAATCAATGTCATTTTCTGATAGTTATCCCTAAAGTAAGTACTTTGACTCCCACTGTGGTCTTTAGTATGTAGGTTCTTTTTGTATCTCTGGTTAGAGAGATGCTTGAAGTGACTGAAGTGACTTCTTAAAAGCAAGAAGCAACTTAGTCTTCATTAGGTGTGTAACTTGCCATATCCAATGTTTTGCTTCCTTTGACAAGCTTTACTAATTTTCTTTCTATTGTATTATCTAATATATTACTGATAATGATGTAATGTGATATGCAAAGTATTCATCAGCTCTTTTGATATTTTTATTTTCCCTAAGGCATGAGTAGTTGAAGGAAGAAACAATGTATTTTTGTTGGTGTTTTTCAAGTCAAAGGCAGATTTGGAGGCCATCTGAAAAGGATTTATGCAATGCTTTTCTTCCCCTTGTATTTAACCTGTTTAAATTATTCTTGCATCAAATATTATTTGCCAGTGATGCTGCTGAACATTTTTGAGATAATGACTCTCATTATTACTCATTCCAAGTGAATGTGAATACATGATCAAGAGGTGAAAGTCATTTGCGTGTTATAAAATCTTTAACTGAATGATCTGGTTCCTCTGAAGCGAAGACACAACAGTGAAGCAGCTTTAGGGCAAGTCCTGACGTCCACTCCAGGTGCTCATGGAGGTGTGTGGAACACCTGAGACAGAAGTAGCAGCAACACCACGGTTACATTCCATCAACTCAGAACAAGCTCGTTTACAGAAGACAATTTATTAGATTTAAGAACAGTCTGTACTCAGGATGTACATTATAGAATGTGGCGTGAGTCCCAGATTAACTGGGTCTGAGTTTCAGCTCTAGTAGTGTGCAGTGAGCTGACTGGAGGGATGAAGAGCTGTTACTTGAATGGCTGTTCTTTGGCTCTCTTAGTTTGTCAGACCAGATGGCACCATGATTGTTATTGGCAGGAATGTTGCAGTAGTAACACTAACTACAATGGCAGTTTTTCATTGTGAAAGTTATTTTAAAAGATGAGATTCTGAAATACATCTTTTTTTTAAAAAAAAAAAAGTTCTAAAATTTAATAGCAGGTCTTCACTAGAAATACTTAATTTTAAAAATGGGGGAGGGGCTCGCCTCAGCAGGCTTAAGTGGTTACATAGGAGATCATTCTTTCCTAACACAGTGTCATCCTAGGAATCAGTGGCCAGTGTCAATAGTCTCTTCTCACACTTAGGTGTTCTTTGTTTAGAGGGTGTCCTTACTCCATGGCTAGACAAATAAATCTATTCATCTTAATATGTGCTTATAAATAACAAAGTGAAACCCTTCACCAGCTGCAGCACTTGGGAGAACAGGCCGTTTGCCTGGGCAGGATAGTACAGTTGACCCTGTAGACAGGGGTGAAGGTGAGACAGCTCTGAGGGCATGAGATGGACATAGCTAGTGCCACCTCCCTCGTCTGCGGAGTGATGGTGGGAGTGAGGAGAGGTGCCCTCCCCCACAACCTTACCACCTTTAGTGGGTAAGGGAGCTGAACCTGCCCCTCACCAGGTGTAGCACTCAAGAAAGTGGGTCCTGCATCTCACCTGGGCAACACAGCAGAGCTGACCCTATTGACAGGGGTCCAGATGAACCATCTCAAGAACATGAGGTGGGAGTTCTGGCTCCGTCCCTCATCATGGGCAGGGTAGAGATACCCCCCTCTGCCTGTGGTGAGTGGGAGAGCTGGCTCTGGGGTCATGAGAGTAGGAGAGCTAGCCTTGCCCCTCACCAGCCACAGCATTTGAGAGAGTGGCCCTACACCTCCCCTGGGCAACACTGTAGAGCTGGTCCTGATGGTCCAGGGGCGGAAGAGCGAATCCCAGCAATGTGAAAGCAGAACCGGCCCTGCCTCTTGCTCATTGCTACAAGGGATGAGAGAGTCAGGACAATGCAAGAGAGCTCACCCTGGTAGTGAGAACAGAGGGGAGCTGGCAGACTGACCATCCCTGCAACTACCCAGGTTCAGAACCAGGGTTCTGAGTTGGCCATCTTGACATCTACCCCATCTGTGATCTATGGAAGCACATAAAGGGGCCGGTCCTGCGGTCCCAAAGCTGCAGGATCTGCACAACACAGGGCAACAACAGGATATCCAGGAGGAGTCCCAGTGAGAGCCCAGAATCCATCCAAAACCAGAGACCTTGAGCCAGACCAATGACTATTTGTAGTGAACACTTGTATCAAAGATAAATGGACAGAAGGGTTTACTGTGTGACTCATTGTGTCACACTACAGCTTGTTTAGGGGGTTGCAAGGGCAGAGGGTGCATACGAAGGGACAGCAAAATGAATGGGATCGAGATGCATGATCTGAAAGACACGAACATAAAAAGCTTAAAAAAAAAGCCAAGTGTAGTTTCACTGATGTGTTTTATAAGGAGGTGGCATTTAATATGGTCTAATGTAGTAGATGCAATTGATTACTCCACTAAATCTTATATTCTTTTATCTAAGAATTTTCAGGAAAAGGATATTATTCATTTATTTGTCTCTACTCTCTTCTTTCACTTATCACAAAGTTTAGAAATATAAATCACTAATTGTTTTCCTCTAAAGCCATTGTGGCAAAATGAGTTGTTCTTTTTTTTCAGTTTTTAAAAAAAATTTATTTATTTATTTATTAAAAATTTCCACCTCCTTCCAACCTCCCATTTCCCTCCCACTCCCCCTCCTCCTCCCTCTCCAGTCCTAAGAGCAGTCAGGGTTCCCTGCCACGTGGGAAGTCCAAGGTCCTCCCCTCTCCATCCAGGTCTAGGAAGGTGAGCATCCAAACAAACCAGGCTCCCACAAAGCCAGTCCATGCAGTAGAATCAAAACCCAGTGCCACTGTCCTTGGCTTCTCAGTCAGCCCTCATTGACAGCCACATTCAGAGAGTCCAGTTTGATAACATGCTCCACCAGTCCCAGTCCAGCTGGCCTTGGTGAGTTCCCATTAGATCAGTCCCACCGTCTCAGTGGGTGGACGCACCCCTCATGGTCCTGACTTCCTTGCTCATGTTCTCCTTCCTTCTGCTCCTCATTTGGACCTTGAGAGCTCAGTCCAGTGCTCCAATGTGGGTCTCTGTCTCTATCTCCATCCATCACCGGATGAAGGTTCTATGGTGATATGCAAGATACTCATCAGTGTGGCTATGGGACAAGGCCAGTTCAGGCACTCTCTCCTCTGCTGCCCAAGGAAAAAGCTGGGGACATCGCCTTGGACCTGGGAACTCCTCTAGAGTCAAGTCTCTTGCCAACCCTAAAATGGCTCCCTTAATTAAGATATCTACTTCCCTGCTCCCATATCCACCCTTCCTCCATCCCAACCATCCCATTCCCCCAAGCTCTCCCGAATCCTCCCCTTCTCCCTTCTCTCTACCCATCTCCCCTTACACCCACCCCACCCCCACCCCCATGCACCCAACTTTTGCCTGGCAATCTTGTCTACTTCCAATATCCAGGACGATAGCTATATGATTTTCTTTATGTTCACCTTCTTATTTAGCTTCTCTAGGATCACGAATTATAGACTCGAAGTCCTTTATTTATGGCTAGAATCCACTTATGAGTGAGTACATACCTGGATGTCAACCTGTAGAAGAATGAAAGTAGATCCATATCTATCACCATGCACAAAACTCAAATCCAAATGGATTAAAGACCTCAATATTAATCTGACCACACTGAACCTGATAGAAGAGAAAGTGGAAAATAGTCTACAACACATGGGCACTGGAGACCACTTCCTACGTAGAACCCCAGTAGCACAGACAATAAGTGCAACAATGAATAAATGGAACCTCTTGAAACTGAGAAGCTTCTGTAAAGCAAAGGACACTGTCATTAAGACAAAAAGGTAACCTACTGATTGGGAGAAGATCTTCACCAATCCCGCATCAGACAAAGGTCTGGTCTCCAAAATATATAAAGAACTTAAGAAACTAGACATTAAAACTCTAATTAACCCAATTAAAAAATGGGGTACTGAACTGAACAGAGAATTCTCAACAGAAGAAATTCAAATGGCCAAAGGACACTTAAGGTCCTGCTCAACCTCCTTAGTGATCAGGGAAATGCAAATCAAAACAGTTTTGAGATACCATTTTACACTTGTCAGAATGGCTAAAATCAAACACACCAATGATATCCTATGCTTGAGAGGATGTGGAGTAAGGGGAACACTCATCCATTGTTGGTGGGAATGCAAACTTGTGCAACCATTTTGGAAATCAGTGTGACAGTTTCTGAGGAAACTGAGAGTCAACCCACCTCAGGATCCAGCAGTACCACTCTTGGGGATATACCCAAGAGATGCCCAATCATACTACAAAAGGATTTGTTCAACTATGTTCATAGCAGCACTATTTGTAATAGCCAGAACCTGGAAACAACCTAGGTGCCCCTCAATAGAAGAATGGATAAAGAAGATGTGGAACATATAAACTCAGCGGTAAAAAACAATGACATCTTGAATTTTGCATGCAAATGGATGGAAATAGAAAACACTTTACTGAGTAAAATGAATCGTTCTTGCTGCTGATATAAAAGGCAGCTAGAGTTCATCTCTAAACAGGATTCTTTCTAAGTGCTAATTTTTAGGGGTTTTTTTATTTCTTAAGAATGCCAAGATTTTCATTTTTATATGCTGAAAGTTAAGAAGCACTAGAAGTGGGCTGGAGAGAGGACTCATTAGTTGAAAGCATGTACTGCTTTTCTAGAGGACCCCAGTGGCTCACAACTGCCTGTAAGTCTAGCTCCGTGGGATCCAGTGCTCCGACCTCTAAGGGCCCACATGGCACATACCAGACAAATAAAATAAAATTAAATGTTTTTTAAAAGACACTGTAGAAGCCCAAAGGACAAAAAAAACCTAACCTCCCTTGCTGTAATAGTTACTTGTTTATTTCTGTTTATTTTTTTCTTACCTTCACTGTTAATAGCACAGGTAACAAAGGAAACATTGCTTCCCTTTTTTTATGTATATTGTATGATTAATTGACCTATGTACAGATAATAATAGCCTGAAATTCTCATGGTTTGATGTTTAATTGTTGGTGTTTGGTAATTTCTTTTCTTACTGAAGTAGATTTTTAGTGGAAAACATATTTGGCTGAACACTTTTTGTGCTTTGATATGATAGAATATGTTCAAATGGCTTCTGAATTGGACCTCATCATGGTTTTAAACATCATTTTTAGTTTTTATTCTTTTGTCACAGCTACCTTCTAAAATAACTATCATTTAAGCTGCTTGCCAGAATATCAGTGCTGCAATTCTTGTGTAACAAGTGGAAGCTTGTCTCTTTCCTGCTTTTCTACAGAGTTCTAAGCTTTCCAAGAGTCAGCTGTGAATGTGCTCAGTCACACAATCCCACTAAATTTATGTTATATATATTTAATATAACATATTACATAATATAATTACATAATATAATTATGTATAAATAATACATAATTTAAATTATATATAAATATAATACATAATAAATTATATATAAATAATATAATTTATTATGTAATTATGAAGAAATTGAAGCGTAAAAACAGTGTTGTTCTGTAACAATATTAGTAGAAAGGTAATAAAGTAGTATGGGATAGTGTTCTAGAGCAGTGGTTCTCAACTTGGAGATTGAACAACCCTTCCCACAGGGGTTGCCTATCATATATCCTGCATGTCATGTTTGCATTATAATCCACAACAGTGGAAAAATTACAGTTATGTAGTAGCAAAGAAAATAATTTTATGGTTGGGGTCAGCACAACATGAGGAACTGTACTAAAGGGTTGTAGGGTTAGGAAGGCTGAGAACCACTGCTCTAGGGGCTTTGCACTGTGATATTTTCAGGAGTAACTTGATAGATAGTTTGATTTATTTTAAAGTAACTTACAAAGTCTTCTGTGTTAATTGCCTTAAAAAATGCCTGACCAGGTACCAGTTCTTCTGACTGCCGCAGGAAGAGAACTTCTGCTGTAGTTTTATAAACTGCTCTTGTTTCCATTGCTGGGTTTGTGGAGATGTACTAGCATAATTCTAGCACCTTTGACCTCGAGTCATCCCCTGGGCCTCCCACTGTCTCTTTCAGCCTTTCTGTTCTCCATTTCCTCAAGATACATACTCCTTAACCTCTGTGATGGGATAGGATCATGTTTTGTTTAGGAGATAAATATAACTCTTTCATCTAAACTTAAACTGTACATTTCTCTATATTTTACAGTCACCTCAACCAGAAAACTCAGTTTGAAAATCCAGTGGAAGAAGCCAAAAGAAAAAAGCAGATAGGACAGGCTGAAATTCATCCTGCAAAACCAGGTAGAACTTCTTATTTGGTCATTGTAACAAAACATGGACTATACATGATGAGTTAACTTTTTATTGCTAAATCTTTGAAACTCAACAGAGAAATTTTTGCCTCTATAAAAGATATGAATCATCTTTTTTACAAAATCATGTAAACATTGTGAGAATACTGAGATGTTTGTCATGATTAATAAAAAATATAAAACTGTGTGATATTGAGGTTGAGTTTTAAAGATTAGGGTTTTTTGGTTTTTTGTTTTTGTTTTTTTGAAGCCTGGCCCAGTATTAGTTCACTATAGCTTCTGAATTAACTACTTAAGTACGATATACAAATTTAATCTTTAGGATTCTCCTCTAACCACTATTAATCAGTACTAAGTAAATCTACCAGAATATTTCCCTATGCCATTGGCTGCCTGTAGAGTTACATACCAAGTTACATATGGTTTTAATGCACCTAGTCATACTTTTTTTTAAAAAAAAAGCTACTCAGGAAGTTCTTGGATGTTCCACCCACCTGTCTCCTTCTTTTCTTTTATGTATTATTACAGCCAAGTTCTCTGTGTATATTGTAGAATAAAGTATGATCCACTTCTATTATCTGTGAGAAAAATACTTCTTTCTTCTAGTTACTCTTCAAAAACCACAGGTGCCTTCCTTACGTTTTACATGTAGTTCAGTAAACATTCAGTTTGACAGGTATTTTTGAGCACTCTTCATATGTCCTGTGCTTCACTAGTCACTAGATATTAAAAAATGTTTGCAATTAAGTCAATTCTTACCCCTCAAGAATTTTCTGGTAGATCACTGTCATAATATGTAGTGAGAAATGTCATTTAAAATTGTGGATGAGTGTACTAGCTAAAGAGCAGGCTTAAGTCTCATCATGTAACCTTGTTTAAGTTCCCTAAAATCTTTATGTCTGTTTTTTCACCTATGGAATAATAATAGCATCCTCTGGAGATAGCTTCCTCATGAAGGTTTCTCAGGTCATTGAAGATATCTCAAGAGGAAGGCACTATTAAATGTGTGTGTGTGTAATAAATTGCTTAGAGTAGTATTTGCTATGTAGCAATCAATAAATAATATTCTTAATAAATGATTTTATCATTATGCATGGGTATGGAATCACCTGTTATCTGATGAGGATACATTCCAAGACCACCAGTAGATGCATTAAACTTTACGTAAACTTTTTCCTGTATATGCCTTACCTCTGATAAATTTAATCTTTCAAAGAGATTTATTTTTTATTTCATGTGTCTGAATGTTTTGCCTCCATGTATGTCTTTACACCACACACATGCAGTTCCCACAGAGATCAGAAGAGGGTGTTGGGTCCTCCAGAACTGGAGTTACATGTGGGTGCTAGGATCCAAACCCAGGTCCTTTTGAAGAGCATCAAGTTCTCTTAACCACTGAGCCATCTCTCCAGTCCCTAACCTTTTCACTTAATGAAATTCTTCACTTTTTCTCTTTGATATATCCAAATAACCAGCATCACTGCTCTTGAGCCTTGGAACAATTTTGTAAGTAAAATAAGGATTACTTGTATATAGGTACTGTGAAACCACAAGAGTTGATCTGAAACCAAATGACTACTAAACAGCTGTCAAATGGTAATATATAGCATAGATACCTGAATGAAAGGATGATTTGTGTACCAGATGAAATAGAGCAAGGTGGCATAAGATTTTTCCACACTTCTCAGAACAGTATGCAATTTAAAACTAGAGTTTATTTCCATTTAATATTTTCAGAATTCACCTGTCTGTAAATAACTGAAAGTACAAAACCCAAAACCGAATGGAGGGAGGTTATGTTAGTGGAGTATGGGTAAGGGGAAATACTAAAGAAAAGGCGGTGAAGCAGAGAGAAAGTGGTTGTTTTCCTTTTCTGAAGTTGTCAAGAAATTCCATAAAGATACTGTTAATAAGTACTCCCTTGTGTCCCCCCTAACAAGGGTTCAGTTTTTTAACTCAAATTCTAACTGTTCTATATCTTCAGAGTTTCTGAAATTTCCTATTCTTCAGGCATCTTTTTACTGTTGTTATTTTTACTTAAGATACATAAATATTTTGAAAATTGACTGTATAGAGTTTATTTGATATAACTGTTTTTGTTTTCAAATATGATTCTTATTTTGACACAGATATGGAAAGGTCTCACTTTACTCGGGATCCATCCCAACTTAAAGGTGTCCTTGTCCGAGCATCACTGAAAAAGAGCACGATGGGATTTGGTTTTACCATCATTGGTGGAGATAGGCCTGATGAGTTCCTACAAGTGAAAAATGTGCTAAAAGATGGGCCCGCAGCTCAGGATGGGAAAATTGCACCAGGTAACAAGGTTTTCAGAATTACTGGAAGAGTCTTGGTACACTAACAGAAATTATTGCAAAGGTGTGTGTGTGTGTGTGTGTGTGTGTGTGTGTGTGTGTGTGTGTGTAAATAAAGAGAATAAACTATGCAATTGAAGCTTGAGATCCTTGTATTAAAATAGTTTATCCCTTAATTAAATATATTGCTAGTTTTAAGTCTGGTTGTTTTTTATAATAAGAAATGATTAAACAAAACATATTTTTATTAATGTTTGGTTTTTGTATAATTTTTAGATAATACTTTGAAATTTATAAAACTTAGTATTTGATAGTCATTTCAGAAGATCATTTGTTTATTCGATAATAGAGTACTTCAAAACGTGTTTTATAGGTATATGGGTATTTAAAAAATGTTTTATAGGTATATGGGTATTTTGCCTGCATATATGTACCATGTATGGGCTTGGTGCCCAAAGAGGCCAGAGGAAGGTATTAGATTGCCTGAGAGTGGAGATAGAGATGAATGGATACTGGAAATCAAACCTGGATCCTCTGGAAGAGCAGTCAGTGCTCTTACCCACTGAGCTGTTTCTCCAGCTCCCATAGGGTACTTTTATAACTCCCTACATCTATTTATCATCTCTTTTGAAAAGTAGTCCATTGAAATGTTTTAGTGATAGCAAAGAAATTCTTAATTTTAAACTACTTTCTCCCCTTCCTTGACCTTACTTGTAGTTAGTAAAGTTCAACTAGTCTTAAGTATTACAAGATACAAACTTTACTATTTTTATAAAGCTACATACATAAAGTTAGGTTGTCTTGTATTTAATTTCTTCATTTTTAATTAGTATTTGTTAGATATTTTCATATGGCTAATATTGTTTCAGAAGACCTTGGTAGAGTTTCAAGACAAATTACAGAGTATTGTGTAGATTACACACTGTTTTCCAAAGAGTTTAATGTTCACTGGGGTTTATTTCTATTATTTCACCTGCTATTGTAATATGAACCCACACTTGGATGACTCAGTTGTTACTGTACTTTTTTATGACAAATATTGTTTGTTACTTTTAATTAAGTTATAGAATCTCTCATATACCTTTCAATGAATTGATAGAAACTTTAAAATATAAAACCTAAAATAACTGAAAGTTATATTTAACTTATTTTTAAAATTAATGAACTCTGAAGATCTTAATCTTAATAGGAAGAGTTTTCTTTTTAATTTTCAATTTTAATCTTTCAACATTTGTTTATGAAACATATCATATAGCATAGAAAGGTAGATAGATAGATAGATAGATAGATAGATAGATAGATAGATAGATAGATAGA